GACTAAACTTAAATTTATTTTTAAAAGACTAAAGGGTGTTTTAGCCTTTTTATACATAAACTGAGATTCTCAAATATTATTAAGTGTTATTTGCTATATTTCGAATGATGATAGTCAATCTTGTTACATTTTTATTTTAGAATTAAAATTCTCTTATTGTCTTAGTTTTACTAATCAATTATCAAATTTCATCTTAAATATGAATTATTCTAAACTTATAATTATCTGACTGTATCTTAAAATATTAAAAAATATTCAATACATCTTTTGAATCAGAATATTTAATTTAAAATACTCCAAGTGTTGCTTATCGAATTTTGTGATCCTAATCATATAAGAATTCATTATTCAAGAGATGCAGCGAAAGAGGATAATTGATCCAGATTTATTGAACAATTTGATTTACAAACCAAATCTTTCATTTTCTGAGATGCTATTTAATCATAAATTGCAAATCTAGATTTAATATTTTTAATTTGAATTTATTGAAATTAAAGTTATTAGTAGGAATCAAAATCAGAGTATTTAGGATAACTAAAAATTGAATATTAAATATATTCTAGTCGAAAAGTAGGAATTTCTAACCCAAGGAAATCCTAATATTTTGCATAGTAATATTTATAGTAATTTGCTGTAGTTTAATTCAAAGTAATTGGAGTAAACTATTGAGAAGATAAGAATAGGGAGAAAATACCGAAAAATGATCTTAATGATATGAGCTTATGACTTTTTAATACATTTCGATAAAAATAGCTTAAATCTTTTACTTGTTAAGTCCAAAAACCAACCTATTAAATGATTTTATATAAAAAGACAAGAATTAACTTGTTTAATATTTTTAAATTTGAAACCGATTAACAGAATCAACAATAAGGCTTAAACATCCTCTTCTTAGTATTATTCTAATAATCCTTTGCCTTGATGAAAGTAGTGTTAATTCCAAAATTAAATCTTCTCTATTTAGTGAGATATCTATAGCATTAGTTATAATTAAAAATATAAATGAATTTTTTCTAATAAGATATCGTTTAACCTAGTTAATAATTAGTGAATAAGTATTATAAGGAACAAATAGAGGCTTGCTGCTAAAACTTATAAGAAAACATTGAAGTATCACATTTGATAATGCATTTAGTTTTCATTCAAAAGAATTGATGATTTGATTGATTAGATAGTAGTCGATAATGAGTATTTATTGAATTAAAAGTTGTAAGAGTGTTAAAAGTAGAGAGTTGTTTAATAGAATGAATCTTCACATAGACTATCATCATTGAATATTGATAATTCATAATTTAGTAATTAAATGATTGTTTAAATAAGATCATTAATAAAAATGTCGATTGATAATTAAATGAAGATTTAAAGTATTGAATATTAATAATAATTAAATGAAAACTAGGAAATATAGAAGATTCAAAAGAAATAATTAAATGAGACAATCAAAGATTAATAATTATAATCTAATTAATAATAAATTCAATAATTAACATTAAATTAATTCTAATACTAATTACTTCCAAATTCAATCAAATAACAACAATTTTGTTGTGCAATAGCTACTAATAAAGATTGTTCAATTGTAGTAGCTGGATGTGATAATACAATTAAAGTATTTGAATTCAAATCAGAAGTATTGATACAAACTCAACTTCTAAGTGAACATACAAAAGGTGTGTTAACATTAAATTTCATGAAGAAATCTAATTAATTTATATCTGGAAGTGATGATAAATTAATTATAATATGGATTATGAACCCAAGTAATTAATGGGTTTGCTAATACAAATTAATTGGACATAATAGTAATATTTATTGTTTAGTGTTGAATAATAATGAGGATTTGATCATTTCAGGTAGTTATGATAAAACTATTAAATTTTGGATTACAAAGAATGAATGGTTATGTTAATAGACTATTACAGATCATAATGGTTGTGTCTATGGATTAAGTTTGAATTAAGAATAGAATAAATTGCTTTCATGTGGAGATGATAAATAAATATTAATAATAGAACAATCATAATAGGATTCTTAATGGATT